TTGTCGGAAACAGTAACGATCATCTTTCTGCGTCGGACTGCAAACGAGAAAAGTGGTGAAATTCGTCCACTCGCTCGTTCTTTCTTTCCTCTCTCTCTCTCTCTTTCTCTCTCTCTTTCTCTCTCTCTCGCGCGCGTGCGCGCGACTATACTTACATTTAATTCTCACCGGCCTGCCCCGCTTGTTCGTCATGCTGTGAATTTTTGGCGAATATCCGCTGCCGCACGCCGACACATGAGCACACACAAGTCGGACTGCCGAGAGTACCGAGCGGCGACCGTTGTAGACCCACGTGGATACAGTGTTGCCACGTTGCCACACACAACAAACACACACTACAGCATGATCCCATGTCCGTGTATGTTCCACGGCTTCGCCTGAATTTCGCTCCGCGAGACGATGTGACATCGCGTTTTCTTCTTCTTTTCTCTCTCTCTCTCTCTCTCTCTCTCTCTCTCTCTTTCATACTTATGGAAATATAACTTTGGATCTAATTTGACAAATTGCAATAGTCTTTGTAATCACAGTCTCAGTTTATTATTCACGAATATACATTCTTCCTTATACAACTTACAGTGATTTTTCCAGACATTTATCAAACGCGTACGATATTACATTCAATGTATCACTGATTTGCTGTACGAGAAAGATATGTAATTTAAAAAAACCGATAGAAAATGATAAAAACAGATTAAAACTTTATTGAAATTTTATCTAATTTTATGGTAAAGCTATCGTTTCAATCGGACCTACATTTGAGCTACTATAGAGAAGTTATCTATTTCTATAATTTCTTAACAATACCTTAACAGTATCTTACTTAAACGATTAAATACTTATCTAAACATATATGTTTTTTAAGCAACTTATGAGTTATCTAATGCAATCTGACAATTACGATTTGCTGTTTATGTGAATCTATACATATATATGTGCCTTTGTGTGTACGTATATATATATTCATTTTGTACATATATTTCACATAAAAAGAGATAGAGATCAAATGGAATAATGCTTATAGAGCGAGATAGAAACGTAAAACGATAAAAAACGATGAGATTTTAATAATAAATGTGCGATTAAACTTTATAATTTTATATGTCAATAACTGTCATATAATAACCGAAATAAGTCTAATCGTTTATTATATGATAGTTATTTACAGATAA